CCTCCTGCTGGGTGTTGTCGTCATTGTTGTTGGACGACTGGTTCTGTCCATTGGTCGATCCAGACCGGGTATCAGTGATGTCCTTGCGCTTCTTCTTCTCTTCCTTCTCGCGCTTCTGAGACCATACTTCGTCAACGTCGAGCAGCTCGACGGCGACCAGGTCACCCTCAAGAGCACGGTTGCGATCCTTGCTACCGCAAATAAAGATATCGGCATCGAGCAAACCGTCCTGGGTGGAGACATAGGCGTCACTGCGGTTCTTCTTGTTCACGCGGAGGATACCAGACACAAGCTGGCCATCGCCGAGAAGAGCCGGGAGAGTGGCTTGGGGGAGGTAAGGAGTGAAGAGGGTCTTTCTCTGCTGCTGTTGCTGCTGGTTGCCGCCGAGCTGACCGCCGTGCTGGCCACCCTGAAGACCGACGAATTGCTGGCCGTTCATCTGGGCCTGCAGAGCTTGGAGCTGCTGGATCTGCATGGGGTTCAGCTGCTGACCGGGGTACATCTGCATGGGAAGCATCTGGCCGGGCATCTGCATAAGCTGAGGCTGACCGGGGTACTGGAACGCGCCGATGCTAGAGATGGACTGGTTAATGGAACCGCGAGAGCGGTGTCCAGGCTGGAAGCCACCCTGCTCCTGGCCTTGGTTTCCGCCCTGGTTGCGCCAGTTGCCGTCAAAGTTGCGAGAGCCGGTTCTGGCGTGACCGGAGCTGCCGCGGCGTCCGAAGTCGTTTTGGTTATCACCAGAGAAGCCGCCACGACCACCAGAAGCGCCGCCTCCACGGCCGTTGACAGCCATGCTCTGGCTGCGGCCATGTCCTCCGCGTCCACGACCGGCACTGGTGCCCTGAGCAATCGGGGCTTCGGGCTGGGTCGGAGCGGGGGCGGGGGCGCCACCCTCGGCAGCGTCGCCAGAGGCGCCGGGGCCGGGGAATTGGAAACCCGACGTTGTGCGCTTCTGCTGGGCAATTTCAGCCGCCTTCTTCGCATCGGCGAGCGCAAGAGAGTGACGTCTTTGATGGCCACCTCCGGCGCCGCCACCTCGGCCTCCGCGACCACCGGCGTTTTCTCTGCCGCTGGGAGCACCGGCGGCGGCATCGTTGTTAAAGGCCGAGCCGGAAGCACCTGAGGAGGGGGCGGGAGGGGGACCCATTCCCATGTTGGGAAGTGCCGACTGATTACGGCGATGTGACATGGGCTGCGTGGGAGGACCGCCCATAGATACATTCTGCTGTGGGAGCTGTTGAGGGAACTGGAAGCCGCCCTGCGGCGCCATCCCCGGCTGCAGGTTGAAAGCACCACCTGGGCCGAGCTGCTGCGCGGGGGGCATCATTCCCATGTTCATGTATTGCTGAGTAGCTTGGATCTGTTGCTGCTGTTGCTGCAACAGCTCAATCTGCTGCTGGATAGCTAGCTGTTCCACTGCGGAGAAGACACATTGTCAGCACGGTGATGATGATGATGATGATGACGATGACGACGGGGTGACAAGGAGCAAGGTGGGGTAGCGAGAAGCTCGACGAGAGGTGGAATTGAAGGCTGGGAGATGATTCAGGATTGAACTTACTGCCCGGGTTGGCAAACATGCTCATCAACGGAGTCAGCTCGGAGGGGCTTCTCCTGTGCGCAATGTGAAGCCGGCGGCCGGTAGGGCCTGGGACGCCGCCCGCAGGCGGCTGCTGCTGGGGCTGTTGTTGCTGCTGCTGCTCCATGGTGAGCAGTCAGGCAGATGAAGGATTGATGATGGTATTGTATTGCACGTCGAGTGCGTCGGATAGGTATGGACGGAGCGACGGGCAGGAAGGCCGGGTGGGTGGGATAAAGGTCGTTTGGTCGTTGGCGTCGATGCTCGGAGAGCTGTGTGGGATGATGTGGCACGTATTGACGTATGTATTTGCGGACTAAAGACAGTGGAGAACTGGGATGGATGTGGTTTTGGTTTTTTGGTCTTGGAGTGTCCTGCGGTGGACGGTATCCGTAATGCGTTGCGTTGCGTAGTGTGGCGTTGCGTAGCGATTCAATGAGGGTAGGTTGTTTGTCTGATGATCAGAGAGGGATTGGATTGGATTGTGATGGGATGGATTGGGAGAGGAGGGAGACGATTGTCGGCTCGACGATCGAGGTTGAAAGGGAAAGGAGCTCGCAAGGAGTGTGCGATGTGATGGTTGAGGTGGGAAAAACGGGTGAGGCAGACGGACGTGAAGAGAAGACGAGGCAGGATGGGAATGTGCTCTCTGGGCGAGCGAGACTGACGGGGGGTTTGTTGCGAAAGGCGAGTCGGGTCGGGGGTGTGGAGTAGAGAGGAGGAGGAGCAGGGACACTAGGTACGGCGACGGTGGAGGGGGACAAGCAGGAGCAGGAGCAGCAGCAGTAGCAGCGACCCCAGGCGAGTGGGCGGCGGGCAGGCGAGGTGAGGTAAGGTGATGGAAAGGTACCTTTAACTCCTGCTCCAGAGAGCTGCAGTTGTGCAGTGCGGGCAGTCTTGCGTCAGGTACCTCCTCAACTTCTGGCAGGCATCTTACCTAGGTAGGTACCTCAGCTACAAGTGTTGAAGTCAGAGAGAGGGGCACAGCACAAGCTAAAGAAAGTGGTGAGGTAAGCTCTCTGGCACTGGATTGTCTGTCTATCTGTCTGCCTTTGCCTAGGTAGGTAGGTTACCTAGGGACACAAGGTATTCTCCGTTCTCCGTCTATCTGTCATGAAGCAAGCGGCCCTACAGAGTGCGGTGCATACCTCAGCACCTCACATCAGGTGTACCTTAGAGACCTACGTATGCAACGAGGCATGGGATGGTTTGAAGCGTTCGGTACCTTGCTCCTCTGTCAGGTATGTACCTTCTTTCTGTCCACAGTGGCACCTTGTTGTGCATTTGCGTCTAACGTAGCCCGGAGCCACAGCGCTGGTTCTGGCAGCCGTGAAGTTGCCGCATGCCGACACGACCACCTACGTACAACGACGGGGAGAGAGGTGCAGTCAGCAGCCGTCACAACGAATACAACCAACCCCAAGCTACCTCCAGCGCTACCAATAACACATGTACCTTGCCTTTGCCTGACTTGGGGTTGAGTTCAGGACTCAAGTCAGGTCTCCAGGTCTCCAGTCAAGTTCGACGGAAGTGGGGAGAGTCCACGCCGCGCGCCGCACGCCAGAGCAAGAAAGACCAGGTCAGGGCTCCCGGGTTCGAGGGAGGTACTTTGGGTACTTAGCTGATCAGTCCCTTGCCGTAGCGTGTCGCCCTAACGTCCTACTACAGCACCAAGAGCACCTCCTAAGGCAGAAGCCGAGGGCCTAGCGGCACGCTTCCCCAAGTCCCGTCATGTACCGCAGCTAAGGGTATTGAAACAGTCAGCGCCGCCGGCGGCTGCGACCTGCTACGTACCTCGGCGTCCCTTCTTTGGACACCTGCTGCAGACAGATACGGGGGGCCATCTCTGGGTCCAGAATCAGATGCAGGGTACACGACGAAGACGGGGAGACGAGTCGACCACAGAGACATGTAGCGTGTTTCTGAGAGATGGATACTTGCGCAGCGACATGACAGGCCGGTCGCAGTCCGCTGCGACGAAATGGCTGCTCTCCTTTTGTTGTTCGTTCCCGTGGATATCAAAAGCATGGAACTGGTAGAGAGAATCGGTAGACCAGGCAAGCCTGGCAAAGCCAGTCTGGGGTGCCAAGGAGCTCCGTCAGGACTCAAGACTCGGAACACCGCGTGACTCTTGGACAGGCCGCTGGACAGAAATACGATACAAGAACGATTGAGTCCCCCGAGTCCCCCAGCACCGTTGTGGAGTCCACCTACGTACCTCCCGGACAGCATCGCTCCTCAATGGCATCACCCCAACCCAGAGTTGGAGATCCTCCCGTCTCTCTCTCAGACGATCTGTCCAGTCTCAGTCTGCTTGGGCGCTGGACTATTCTGTCATTGCCAGGGCCACAAGCAGGGCAAGCCAAAGCGAGACAGGCCACAATCAAACTTCAGTCCGCACCAGACTGGGAAACTTGGAACGGCCCGCGAGTCCTTCACCGCCCGGCAATACCGTCAACCTGAGTCCTCAGACACTGCATCACATCATGGTCTCAAGGAGAGTCTGGCAGCCAAACCTTCAGGCTTCAAGCTTCAGACTCCAGGCCCTTCCTTGTGAAGTATGTACCTGTCTTCACTGCACTCAAAGCTACCTACCATGACGGGACTATTTAGGTGCCCGACCTCACCTTGGGCGGACGGAGAGACCCACGCGCGGTCCGACCAACCAGCGGGGACGCTATACTGAAAACTGCTCGAGCCTAGAGCCGCTATAGGCTCAACAAGCCGCAATAGCCCCACCAATACTGCAACCATGGCGACGTCTCTGGTTTTCTGGTCTTCTGTTTGACTCTGTGTCCAGACTGCCAGCGGCTCTTTTTCTCTATTTTTTTTTTCTCCTGCCCCCCTTCCCCTTCCTCCCCACGGGAACAGCTGCGAGCAGAAACGCTGCATCGCGGGTACAGGGTAGCAGTGCAGCAGGGGTCGTCGCTTCCAGCGCCCCCCCCCCCCCGAAAGAGCCCCAAGTCGCCGCGAACGGTAACATCTTCCCACCTGCGGACACCATCAAAGCGCGCCTGATACATCGTATTATTTTTCCCTGCTCCACACCCGCGCAGCGCACCCAACCTGAACTCGACGGTCTCAGTCTCGACCTTGCCCAGTTGACGACACACCACCACCGAACGTAGCCAACCCCAAACCGACAAGCCCCTTCCAAAGGACCCCGAGGCCGCAAAGGAGCACAGCCTCGTCTGGACTCCCAAAGATCGCCCGAGAGCCTTGTCTCCCCCGACCGAACGGCTACGGCGGACGTCACTCGTTTCGACCGATTTGTTGGGGGTTTTTATCGTTTATTTATTTTTTTCACTCGTTTCCCCGTCGCCGGTGTCATCGTGGTTCCCACGCGTTCCGACCCCACCGCCCGATGCCGTAGGCCCGGCCACATCCAGCAACGTCTGGCACCCGCGTGCAACCAACCATGGCGCACTCCTCGCCTTCACGTAGGAGCCACAGCAAGGACTACGTCAAGCAGAGTCCTGAGCGTGGGTTTGTCGCTGACTTTCTGTCGGAGAACCGCAATTCAGAGCTGAGCCATCGCGATGCTCTCGCCGCTGCCCAGCTCGAACACGAGCGCGTTCGCCTCGCTGCCCTCAGGGTGTACGAGGTCCACCAATTGCAGGAGGAGAAGCAGCGGCTGGAGGCCGAGCAGCGCAGGATAGCACAACTTCAGAAGGAGGAGGAGGAGCGATTGAAGGCCGAGGCTGCTGTCCGCGCCGAACAGGAGAGGCTTAGAGAGCTCAAGGCAAAGCAGATACCTCAGCTTCCTCCCGAGCCCGAACCCGAACCTCCCAAACCTGAAGCCGTACCGCCGAAGAAGCAAGAGCCCCAGGTCAATGGCACCACCAGCCAAGCAGTCAAGGTCGAGACTGCTGCTCCAGCACCGCAAAGGTTACAGCCGACACCCGTGGCAAACGCTTCGGCGCCAGCTCTTCAGACGGCAAAGACTTCTCTGGCAGCTCCTTTACCAACACTGGCGAAGGAACCTGCCGCAGCGCCAGCCCAAGCCAATGGGTTCCTGACGAAGCCCGTCGAGCCTCCGAAGCCCGCCGCGCAGCCCGCCGCTGCCGCGATACCCGCGAAATCGGCAGACGCCGATAGGTACGCCGAAATACACCAGGCTCTGAAGAAGCTGAGAAAGGACGTCGAGGCTCTATCGAAGCAGCCTGGATCGCCGCTCAAAGGCAAGCTCGGCGACATGCGCCGACAAATCAGGAAATCCATTGGGCAATTGACCGCTGGCAAGGGAGCAAACGCCGTACCTGTAAGGATGCCGCTGCCTTTATCCCTGCCAAGACACTGACATCATTTCAGATGAACACAATCAACGTCACTCTGCGTGAATCACTCGCAAGTGTACAGTCGCCGCCGATAGACGTCAGTCTGTATGTTCTACGAAATCGAGAACCTGTCGAAGGAGCTGTCCACAATGGCGAACAGCTCCCGGCGCTGTTTATCTATCTTCTCAACATCCTCTCAAAGGCAATTATAGGACAGTTCGCCAACGAGGGTGGCGCGAATACCAAGTCCGCCGAGCCAGTCGGTATCGTCACGGCTCAAATCTTCTCCAACAAGGATTACCACTGGCGGGGCGTCTCCCTGATTGACATTCTGATCGCCAAGTTCCGTGTGGCTTGCCCAGTCTTGTTCGGTTCTAGGGGAAACGACAAGACGCAAGCGGGCCGCCAGGCTATCGGTTGGAAGAAAGAGGACGGCAATTGGATTCCTGAGCAGGCGCACAATGACAGGATGACGGGTCTCGGCGCCGGATTCGCGGCTATTGCCTTGCGAGACTTCAGCAAGGCGTCCAAGACAAACCCGTACCCGCCGACGAACTACTGGAAGGCCATGGCGCAGATAGTCAATTCACCGCCACAGCTCATCTCGAACACGCAGTACATCGTGCTCAAGTCCATGATCGACGGCCACCAGCAACGGTTTATCAACTTCTACGGAAACGCTGCCCTCGCAGCCCTGCGCTTGGCGCTGGTGGAGTTTCCTGGAAAGGCTCCCGCTGGGGCCACGGCAGCCCAGGCTCTGCAGGTGCTCGCAGACGTCATGAGGAGAGATTCCGGCTTGGACTTGTCGTAGTACGACTAAGGGGAACAGAAAACATAATCTTATACATAACCAATTCAAGGATGGCCGGTTTCTGATACCAGGAAAAGGGGCACATTCATTTAGGCGTTCTGGACAAAACACTCATACAGTTAAAATACGGCAAAGCGTTGACTCTCGACGGCAAGTCGTTTGTCCATCATTAACGGGCTCAGCGACAACGCCTCTGTGCGAGGAGACAAGCAGCTTGGTGTTGCGTATCGTTCGTTGGATGCAACGATATACCATATCCTATTTGAGGACCTCCCTAGCAGTAGACACTATCAGAACAAAAAAGGAAAGACAATGACAAGCGCTCCGTATGAACTCCCTATCCCTTCCTGTAAATGTATGTGGTGATTGCCCCCTCCTTTTCGTCATTTCGACACAAACCTCATGAACGACCATTTCGAGATCGCTATAGTATCAGCAACAAAACGAGCAACAGAATGAGCACGAAGATGAGCACCGCAATGCAGCAGCTGCTCAACCGATCCTCGTTCCGGCGCATGACGTAGTTCAGCTTCTGCACGCCCGTCTGCAACCTGCCCCCGACGCGGTCCGCGACGCTGTCCACGACCTCGAGCATCTCGCGCTGCTCCTCGAGCTCGCGGCCCATGTCGTCGGCCTGCCGCCTCAGGTTCCCCACCGTCTGGAACACGCCGTCGAGGTGCGTGTCCTGCTGGCGCATCATCTCGAGCTGCTGCTGCTGCTCGAACTCGGCGTACCCGTCGCCGCCGTCGCCGTCGGGTATCGCGAAGGAGCTCGGGTCCGGCAGGTCCGACGAGGCTCCCTTGCCCTTTGCGGCTGACGATGCGGCGGCGTCGCCGAGCTTCTTGGCCAGCTCGTCGCGCATGTCCTCCACCTCGCCGCCGACCTCCTGGACCAGCCTCTTGCGGCGGGTGACCTCGGACGCGGAGAGGCCGAAGGAGGCCGGGTCCGACTCGACGGCCTTGACGGACTCAACCAGGTCGGCGAGGTCTTCGGCGAGGGACTCGAGGGCGGATTCGAGGTCGGAGCGGGCGGAGGCCAGTTCGGGGGACGTCGGGGATGTGGAGAGGGAGCGGATGCGGAGGTAGGAGGTGAATAGGGGCCGGGTGGAATCCAGCTGGGCGAGGACATCTCTGCGAGTTTATTGTTAGTTGGAGACCATCTCCTTTACTGGTTTCGATAGCTGGAAGGGGGGATGCGCATACTGCTGGACCTGGAGGAAGGGATCCTCCTCGTTGGCGGAGGACATCATCCTGGCGACGAGGGTGTGGAAAGGCGCATCCGTGGACGCATTGGTTTGCGGGTGCAGTTGTAGTTGGAACAATCGATGCGCCGGTCAAGATTTGCGTCTATTTCGGGTGTCCAATCGATGGTGGCCGAATACTAGGTGCGCCGGATATGCGTTATGGGTGATCTGTAGTCAAATTACCTTTTAGGTAAACGCGGCTGGGATGACGTTTGCGCGTCTGTCTTGCGCTGCTGCTTGCTGCGGACGGTGGTGGTAGTAAGCTTCCGGCTGGCCCCCCTTAGGTGTCCACTCGGTGTCGGGTACTTGGAGGTACTTCGCTGCAGTGACAAGCTGCTGCATCCGGGGATTCTTCGGCTGAAGAAGCTCAGAGGTGGAGCAGGCTCACCGAGAATAACCACCAAAGTGACCCCTCCTTCACCGAGAAAAATTTCCCCATAGAGGGGTCCCTTTTCTTTTTATGTAAGTGGGATGTATTTTCAGACGGATTCCCACAGTCACTCACTTCGCGCACTCACTCACAACTCGGTCGCTCACTTGGGCAGCGTCTCATATTTCGAGACATTCTACAGGCCGCAACAGTACCGCAACTCAGGAAAGGCATCGAGGGAGTCACAGCCATCCAAAAATGATCCCAGAAAAGCCCCTCCCGTGCTCAGACGAGTTCCCCTCACCAGAGGCCTACGTCTCCGCCCTCCTCAAGTTCGTCACGGAGACGGACCTCTTCCAGATCCTCTGCGGCGGCGTCCACGTCCTCGACTTCTTCACAAACACCCCGGGCCTCTTCCACCAGGTCCTGCCCAAGGAATGGCAGCCCTTCCTGCTCGCCTACGACACCATGCGCCTGCTCGACCTGCTCATGAGGGACGACCTGGACAACCTCCCCGCGATGGACTCGCCCCCGCCGGAGAGCTTCCTCGCCTACGTCCGCGACATCCGCCGCTTCTCCCTCGCGCGCGAGTTCAAGCCCTCGCAGTCCGAGACGAAGCCGCCGCCGAAGCTGTCCCGCTCCGTCGCCGTCGGCATGAAGCCCAAGAAGGTGCACGAGGTCGCCCACTTCGCGCGGTACGTGGACTCCCTCGCCGGCGCCATCGCGGAGCGCTGGGATAAGGAGACGACGCATTTTGTCGACTTTGGCAGCGGGCAGAACTACCTCGGCCGCACCCTGGCCCTGCCCCCTTACAACAGGCACGTCGTGGCCGTGGAGGGTCGCGAGCACAACATTGACGGCGCAAAGGGGCTGGACGTGTTGTCCGGGCTGGCGGGCAAGGAAGTCGTCATGCGGAACAAGAAGCTCTGGGCTCAGATGCAGGCCGACAAGTTCGGCACCGACAATGTTAGGAAGATCACGAAGCCGTCTACGGATGCGGTTGAGGACTTTGACTTTAGGCCCATCAAGGAGCTCGAACCGCAGTACAACCGCGCCATCGGAAAGGGCTCGGTGTCGTACGTGGTCGGCAGGCTGGAGAGCGGCGACCTCACGGAAGTCATTGGTCGCATTGAGAAGGAGGTCCTCCCGGAGGAGGAGGACAAGGAGCTCAAGATGATGGCCGTCTCGATCCACTCGTGCGGCAACCTCTCGCACTATGGCATCCGCTCGCTCATCATGAACCCGGCGATCCACTCCGTCGCCATCGTCGGCTGCTGCTACAACCTCCTCACAGAGAAACTCGGCCCGCCGACATTCAAGTACACCTACGCCCGCCCGTCGCTGCAAGCCCTCAACGGCCGCGTCGTCAGGGAGTCCTCGCGCTTCGACCCCGAAGGCTTCCCCTTGAGCGAGAAGCTCTCGACCTACGATGGCGGGGTCCGCATGAACATCACCGCGCGGATGATGGCGTGCCAAGCACCCCAGAACTGGACGCGAGAGGAGAGTGACGACTTCTTCACTCGCCATCTCTTCCGTGCAATCCTCCAAAAGATCTTCCTTGACAAGGGCGTCATATCCAAAGTGTACCACCGCGATCCGGACGCCGACTCGGACGAGACCCCTGAGACGCCCTTCAACATGAGCACCAACCCCGTCATCATCGGCTCCCTGCGCAAGGCCTGCTACCGCTCGCTGGGCGACTACATCCGCGGGGCTGTCACCAAGCTCACCACAAACCGGGAGTACGGGCAGTACAGCGCCATCATCAAGGAGAAGATGTCCGACATGTCTGACCAGGAGATCAAGCGCTACGAGGACGAATACCTTTCCCGCAAGAAGGAGGTCGCCGCGGTGTGGAGTCTGATGGCATTCAGCGCGTGCGTGGTCGAGTCGCTCATTGTCACAGACCGCTGGTTGTTCCTCAAGGAGCACGCGGACGTTGTCCGGGACGCCTGGGTTGAGACGGTATTCGATTATGGGTTGAGCCCGCGAAATATGGTTGTCGTCGGTATCAAGAAATAAAGAGCGGGGAACTCTTGATCTTCACTGACTTGGCGTACGTTCTTCATATCGGCTGCAAGGTTCCCGTCATGGCTCCGCTTGGGCTTTGATGTCTTACCCTGGATCGGCAAATGGGCACGCGACAAGCGCGGTGCAAATTTGCACGACGGCGGCAACCATACCGACGGCGCCCGGACAGCTGGGTCCCGTGTATGCATTGTCATGAGTAGTCATCGGGACGGACTGCCTGTGCCGAGACGAACGGCAAGTCCGTAAAGTCTCGGGTTGGTTGAGCTTGCATGCGCGGCGACGTCGTCCTCGCCCTCGTCGCCGTCTCGTGGCCTTGATCTGAACAGGACAAGGGTTGAACTTGCGCGTCGGTTACTGCGGTAAACGGACAAACCGTAGGGTTTGTTCTCCCTCGTCGTTGATGTCATGCATGAACCAGCATCGGTTGAGAAGGAGGGCTGCGATAGGTTGAAGATGCTTCCTCTCGATTACTGAGGATTACCTCGCCATAGAGTTGCACAGGGACGAGCAACAGAACCCCTCATTCCCTCCGCTTCGTCTTACCATCCGCAGGGAACGGCCGATTGGCGGGGTACAGGCCAAAAAGGCCAGCCTGGAAAAGGCATGTTGGCCGGTTAGACTAGTGGGCTAGAAGCGCAAATTCGTCAATTAGCTCTTGAGGCTAACAAGGTAGAGCTTGAGACGGCGACAGTCATAGCTTGAGATAACGCCCAACCGTCCGATTCCCTATCAGTGGATCTACGATCTGATCCGCAAAGATAACGTATGAGAGCACAGACGGGCGAATGGGACCCCATCGGAGATTTGAGGAAGCATGATGAAGAGAAGCAAAACTGTAATAGAAAGGTAGCCAGTCGCCGAAGGAACGTTTCAAGACCGAAAAAAAGCTCATGGTCAGGGCCGAGACCTCGGCGATGCTCCGGCCTCATGATGGATCACGGCACGCGGTGAGGGTGGCCCGTCTCCAGTCAAGTGGAGGTTCTCTCGTCTTCCTGTCAGCAGTGTCCGCAGCATCCCACGCCTGCGATGCAGACGAAGCCAAACTCGGCAATCAAACAGCAAACAATGAGAAGCTGAAAGCTTCATATGGTACCAGAGCTGTTGTCTTGGCCACCATCAGCCATGTTGAAGCGGCGACCAATGCGTACGTGATGTTTACCCTTAACGTGCGCGATGCTGTCATAAGGGCGCGTGGTGACGATGTGTGCCTGTCAATCCCTTCTCCTGCAGGTGAGACGACCGAGTATTTGGCTCGGCCTGGTCAAGTCTGTGAACTCCCGTTGGACGTCGGGGTGTCACAAGGCAAATCTCGGGTTCGTGGGTTGGCGTCGTCAACCCACGCTCGTTTGCGAGTCAGGTTCCCGAACCCCAGAGAGTGTTTGACCACGCCGCACGAATTCATCAAAAGGTTGTCAACGAGTGGACGGCTAGGTCAAGAAATGGGGGTTAAGGCGCGTCGACGAACCGCTTAGAAGCGGCCGTTGGAGGCAGCTGCGGACGATGCGAAAGTGTGTAGGGTCGCAGTGGAGGTGGTTGCTGAAGGGATCGGATCCCAGGATCCAATTCTTGATGGGGGTCCAGATGGAGGCCGGATTGCGGGAGGAGAGTTGTCACTGACAGAGTGGAAAAGATGAGGGCCGAGAGGGGTGGGATCCCCTGTCCTGAGCGAGGGTTGCACCCTCTCTGAGAGTTATGGCGCCAACAACCTGACCAGAGGTGGCATTTTGCATCTCAAGCAGTCGTCCGGGAGTCGATATTAGGAAACCCGGACGACGCAGGTTGGCCACGACACCTTGCTGCTACGTCAAGAGTAGCGTTAGGTGAAGCAGGGGCAGAGTTGAGTCCACTGGAGAATCCATGCTCAACTCGACAGTTGTCGCATGGCGCCGATTTGGCGAGAAGCATTGCTATGAGCCAGCAGGACGGGGAGCGATGGGAAAGGGTTGGTTCAGACAAGGTTCAGGAACCGTTGCGATCGGCGGGGCCGGCTCTTTGGTGAAAAGATGGCTTGGTTGGTACTTGGTGAATTGGAGAAGCGAAATTTTTCTTTTTCGTCGTGAACCACTGCAGACCCGATACGGCTACCCGACACGGCTACCCGACACGGCTGAACCTCTGGTCTGACGCAATGGCGTTGGAGGCGGGGAGCTGAGATGGCAGGTGAGTTTGGGGACGACGCCGGCAACTCAAAGCGAGTGAGGTGAGGTGAGGTGCACCTGGAAGCTCAGCGTTGGGGACCGGCTCCAGGCCGCCGAAGAGGGGTCCAAGTGCGGGGGTAAGCTCTCTCGGGGGCTGGGATACGTATCAGTGTCTGGGCGATGTCATCGCCAAACACCGTGCCGCAGGTCCTTCGATAGCTATTGTAATGAATAACCTGCTTGGAAATCCGACCGATCCAGCTTAGGACCCGAGAAAGGCGGGCATTCACTGGAGCTGGCGGTTGTCGTTATCCCACGTCGTTCATCGAGGTAGGTGGATGCGAGGCCGACGCCAGCCGCATCCAGGATCAGGCAATGAATGACGGCGGCGCCCGCGAGCACTGAGCAGTGTTGTTCCCGTGGTGGTGATGCCCAGTTGAGAGGTGAGAAGTGAGAGATGACAAGTG